GTAATGTCGATTCGTATAGACGGAGTAACTTGCAGTTCGACTGTAATATTCAATAAATATAGACGGAGTAACTTGCAGTTCGACTGTAATATTCAATAAATATAGACGGAGTAACTTGCAGTTCGACTGTAATATTCAATAAATATAGACGGGGTAACTTGCAGTTCGACTGTAATATCCAATAATCAATATTCAGTCCTTAGTTTTTGAATATTAAACTTTCACAACTATACTTAATACAGAACTATACTTAATGCGCTTGTACTTTTATTATTTAATTTCAAATTTCCATCGAAGAGAAATTTTCCAAATAAACTTTATTTAAAGCATGTTAAAATATCATTAAAAAGTGTATTGTTAGTCGAATACGAATCTCGAAATATTTTAACCCTCCTTCATTGAAATAAAACCCAGTTTTTTTCTCTTATTCTCACGTGTTAGTGGCTGTACACCATAACCTTGATGAAAGGGTTATTAGGCTACACACTATAACCTTGATGAAAGGTTATCATTCCTTTTATTTTCAGCTTCCAAATAGAGTTCAGCGGAATAGCTTTGTGACCATTCAATCAAATATCTGTAAGTATGGGCTTTACGATACAAAGTTTCTCCTACAGATGGCGCTGTTTAATAACTCCTCGTAGTGCTCTGGGATCAAGATTAACTGTCTGTGCAGCAGAATTACTGAAAACATAGCGGTAAACATTAACTCAAAATGTAGCGAATAATTACATATGGATTGGAAAAATTAAGTATAAATGTAGCGAATAATTAATTGAAAATGTAACAGAATAATTAAATGAAATTGTAGCCGAAAATCTATGCTCAATATTCACAGCACTGGATTAAGTAATTGGCTACTGGCTTACTGTAACAGTTAAACTGACTAAATCATGCACTAATTAACAAACCTCGCTAACGCACTGTATGTCTAAATTATTTCCTAAAGTCTGCAGAAAGTTCCAGACATTAAGGCCACGCCCATCATGTTATTCTAAACTTCTTCTCGGGCGAAAAACAAATGGTAACCTAGAAATGTCTGTATAAATGCCCCCCAGTGGCACAGCGCACTTACAACACTAAAAACCGGGTTTCGATGCCATTCTGGGGATATTATGCAAATTTCGCGGCAAAAGCTATTGACCCATGTATAAAAAAAACTTCATAACTTGTAGAATCTTCATTACAATCATCTTTCAAAGTCGAGCACGTTGTCTCTGGTGATACTGACAGGCCATTAGCTATATGGAATTAAAGTCGTAGTTTCCTAAAACCACTACTTCGGTAACAATTAAACGTGGCTGTTCTGATATTAGGAGCAAATCATAATGATTTCTACAACACACAGTGACTAACAACGTAGAATTCATGAAGAAAATTTCCTGTCCAGAAACGGACGGACACTTGTAACTTGAAAATCATTACACATTTGCATATTGAATAGCACAGAGAGTTAGTTACGGAATAAAATATATTAAATGTTAAACATATCTTGTGAACAACTGAGATTACTTCAGTTTCAGACTTTTTCTTTTACAATAAAGTAAGTATACTTATGTTGTGAACACGTCACTTTACTCCAGCTCTTAAAAAGACGTCTGTAAATTCAAAAACAAATCTGAACGTCTACATCTTCTGTAAGAAACTCGGTCTCAAATTCTTTTAGCTAATACAACGTTTGTTGTGCTTTTTCTTCATTCTTATTATACGTATAAACCCATGTTATGTTCCTTATAGTTAAAAAACTTAACTGAAATGTTTTACTATTACTAATAAAGAGTTAACAAATTAAATTTTAAATGTTTTCGTTAATAGAGTTAAAAACTTAATTCTTATTAGCTTCTTATGAAACTCGTATTATGTTTCCTATCAATATATATATATATATATAAGTCAAGTGTTGATCGGTCAGTCGGTCGGTCACGCTCGATTTCCCCGAATTTCGTGAGTTACACGAGTCCAATTCCACTTTTTCTCCTATAATACTTCCTCTTTTGATTGCCTGTTCTCATTTTAGTTGGTTTTAATCGCTAACATTGGCGTAAGTAGCTCCTAAATTTTGGCACTTTTTCTGCTATATAAAAGCCAGTCAAGGAGGGAGTTAACAGGACCAGATCAGGCATGGCGTTATTGGGTGGCACCACATCATTATGACGTCAAGCTAGGTAGGATCCGAATAGGAAAGCCGGGAAGACTCCTCTGAAAAATATGTCAAAAATTAGCGAAAATCTATGCTTGGGAGTTATTAAAAAAAACATTTATTAAAACAGACTGAAGATACTAATTATCTGTAGGAAAGAGGACAACTTTTCCTCAGAAGAAGAACAGGTGTGTATGTGATGACTTGGTCATCATATGTTTTAATCTTTTATCCAAAGGCACCAATATGTAGCATGTTTACAGTCTTTAGATAAAATAGATAATGCTCATGATAGATTTTGACTTCTCGAATCCAGAAGACCTTTTATTTTTATTATGTCTGTTTACAGTCGGCAAAGTTTCAAATGCATATTGGAGGGTTCACATTTGGTAGGTTTTGGTTTCCCTTATTTTTTTACGGGCTTTGATACCAGTAGTTAACAAATCGTTAAAAAATGTATTTTTTTTATTTGATATTGTTAATAAGGAGTTAAAGTTTATTCATCAACGATTCGTATGAAATTTGCATTGTTTGTTGTAGTTAATAAATAGTTAACAAACTTAACTGTTTTTCTAGTGTTAATTAACAGTTATTAAACGTAACTGTTATTAGTACTTCGTACGAGACTCGTGGTACATTTCCTATCGATAATGAAGCGTTAACTTGTAATCATTATTCTGTAGGTCTCGTGGATTAGAAGGCGTGACTTTCATGTGCTCACCGTGGGGGAAACTACTTACACAGCAGAAGGAAGATTCGAGGTCGTCCATCTGCCACGTAGTAATAATTGGATTCTGAAAATTAAATTAGTCGAGATTGCTGATGGGGGAGACTATGAATGCCAGGTTAACACGCACCCTCTCATGAGCTACTTCGTCTATTTAACAGTCCTTGGTCAGTAATATCACTATTTATGCAAGTGGGAAACTTGATATAAGATATTAAAATAACTTTCATTTTGCAAGTATGGTAGACTTAACCTACAGATGTCGCTCTTATAAGTATGGTCTCTTTTTGACTTGGTATTTAAATTTTCGAGTAATTGAAAAAATAAATATATATATCAATTATTATAACTATTTCACTCTCCAAGTTCTTCGTTTCTAAACCAAATAATACTTCTCAATGAAGAATGTACTGTTTAACAATATAGTGAGCCTAATACTTTTGAATGAGGAATGTAGTGTTTAACAATATAGTGAGCCTAATACTTTTGAATGAAGAATGTAGTGTTTAACAATATAATAAGCCTAATACTTTTGAATGAAGAATGTAGTGTTTAACAATATAATAAACCTCATACTTTTGAATGAAGAATGTAGTGTTTAACAATATAATAAGCCTAATACTTTTGAATGAAGAATGTAGTGTTTAACAATATAATAAGCCTAATACTTTTGAATGAAGAATGTAGTGTTTAACAATATA